CTTTCAGAAAGGAAATGAGACACAAATCAACTATAACTTGTTTAAATGCACTTTGAAAGTCAATTTTGCATTATATGGCCACTTAAAAGAAGATGCAGTTATAGAATTTCTGAACCCACAATCCAGTAACTTATTTAGACCTTGAATTTAATTTAATTGAATAGGCGAAGGGTACTAAATTGTAGTGGGCTGTTCTGGCTGATCTCCAACGCCTGTGACTGGTCAGAAGGTGCTGGTTGGAAGATGTAAGACAGAAGTGGTACTGATTGGATCTGATTGAGTCTAATTTAGTTTTAAATCTTTCACAAACATCCTATTTCCACACTTTCTATCTTTGTCGCTAACGTTCTTATGGCACAGATTAACAAAGCATTAAAGACACATGCTACAAGCAACAAGCTAGAGGAGTCCAACTGCCATCAGTGCAACTATTTTTAGAAATTGTGAATGTCACTTTAGTCTTAATGCTCCCTGCTTTACCAGAGGAAAACTATCTTTAACAGGTAGAAAGGAAAGGATCAGGGCCAGAGGAATGTGTTTTCCTGTGGTAACTGCTTCATCGTAAATATTTAAAGTACTATCTAAAAGGCTCTTGTTTTGACTTAAAGATTCAGATTTTTATGTTTAATGAAGTCGAGCAAAATGTGTTTACCTCAGGGAAGATAGTGAAAGTAGGTCAATCTATAATTTATTCAAAATATTGTGAGTTTTATTGTCAGAGAAACAGAGACTTTAAATGATTTTTGGGTTTAACTTGTTTAATAATACTTAATTTAATCAAGTTTATTTAGCTTAACATAAGTGATCTTAAACTCAAGTAAATAATTAAGACAAATCTTAGATTACTACAAATCAATAAAAAATAGCTAAAGGTTTTTTTTGTTTAGCTATTTTTACAGGGCCCTTAAGGAAAACTGAAGTAACAGAAGGAGTAGGTAATAATGTCAGGCGAGGACACTAAGCTCCAAAACTCAGCAGAAGGTGATTGAAGGTAAATCAATGAAACCCTCTCTCCATTGACTAAGAACTACAACTGCCCCTGACAGAAGTATAAAAATCTACTATTCTGTTGCTCCCTGATTAAAGACATAGAACACAATCATGTTGCACATGGAAAAGGAGAGGCCTTTTCCATTAAAGGTTATGGTGCTGGTCTGTGTCAGAAGAGGGGTTGTTGAAGTCTAATGTTTGCCGTTATTCCCCTGATGGCTGGTGAGCATAGCTTTTCTCCATGAGCCTGCTTTGGATGGTTAGGGGGAACTGGGATGGCTCAGGTAGGCTCATTCCATCAGGTAGTCAAGGACTTTCTTCTACTGGGATGTTAGAGAAGCTAAGCTATGCTGCTGAGCAGGAGCACTGGGAGGAGGTGGGACCAAGCCCCACGTGTGCACACTCTAGCTGGGCTCACCAGACCAAAGTTCCAAATCAAGTTCCTTAAGCTGCTTTTCCAAGCCAAGAAAAGCTTACAGGTCGTCACGTTGGGCAGAACAAATGGTCCCAGTTTGCTGCTGGTTCCCTGCAGCAAAACTGCAGAATGGGACACAGAGAAATCACAACAGAGAGCAGTCCCTCTGTACAGAGCAGCAGGAGGACAAAACACAGCCTGGGCTTGTTCATGTGGGTCTGTTTTTTTCAGCCTACAGCAGTCACTCCAGTTCTGAATCATTAGAACTACAATTCTGGTCAAGGTATTGACTATTATAAAACAGCTGACAAACAACTAAAAGGATGGTATCAATACAATAATAAAAGGTGTAAGACTAAATTGTTCCATTCCAGTGTATGAGGAGCAATGTCCGAAAGAGAATGCACACTTCATATTGGGTACACAGACCTGCTGTAACATGTGTTTGTCTATGTGCTCTCTCAAACGCCAACACAGTAACACACATACTGAGTACTAGTGTACATAAGACTAAGAGGATTTCAATCTAATTAATTTGTCCGTTTTGGATATGGACATCTGGATCCCAGAGAGTTATAACAAAATAAAAACAACCATGAGTAATACATGAATAATTGATTAAATTGCACAATGTCAGAAGCTCATTCTAATAGTCCAGACTACCGCACCTGAAGTCAGCAAAATTTAGGCACGACATGTGGAACTTGTGGTAGATGAGCAAAGTCACTTCTGCTGCGTTGTCTGGGAATCTCTAAGGAGGTTTTTTTGGAGTCCTTTTTATCTGTGGTCTGTCACAATGAGCGTACTTGTTGTCACAGGGGTTATCAGGACCTGCCCTAGCCATGCACGACAAACCGTCTCACCACGATCAGATATGCAGCGTTAAACAAGGCCATATTCAGCCTGTGCGGGAGAGGAGGCCAATTTACAGACAGGCAGGACAGCCCAAATGGAACGGAGGCTTTCACTGCCATTGTCAAGCTTAGACATACTTGAATGATCCACTGCATCCCATACAAATAGCTTACAGCAGGATCATACAGGGAAATGGATTAAGTGCAAGTGGATTAGAAATGACACTGACTTTCATGGCATGGCAAGATCTTTTTAAATTATCTTTCCTTTCTAAATGGGAGAATATGCTGGTACTTTCTGAGAACTCGAAAACTACTGAACTGAGAAAAGGATGAGAAGACAAAAGTGGGGGACAAATACGATGTCAGTGTTATTTGGCTTGGGTACAGTGGTGGTGAACAGGACAGCCTGTTCTGGGCAGGCTCAGTCCTACAGCAGCCTGCTCCAAAATAACAAGTATGTGAACAACACCAAGGTGGAGCCAGGAAGAAGAGGAACAGGACCACTTAAAGCAGGAATAAAACTGCAGTAAATCACTACCCGTCAAACTCAAGAATGAAAATGTACTGTGCATGTTCCCTGTTATCATAGAGATTCTTTCAGATCAGATTTCCTGTGTGTTTCTCAAAATGAATTCCTCTGTAGTTCAATTACAGTACTTGCTGAAATCAGCAGGACGACCGAAATAGTAGACTAAAGAAATGCCTTGTCGATCAATTAGTCAGGGGTTTGAAGAATTCTTTAATAATTATTATGCATATGACCCAAACTGTAGGTATAGTTAATGAAAACCAACTCTTAAGGCTTACAATAAATACATTGATTAAACATGTGAATTGATAGTTTGACCTGGCTTGAATATAAAATAATTACCAAAATCTTCAGCCATTTTTACTAATATTTTGCAGTTTTCATATAAATGATTCAATGACGAAATAGATCATTTAAGATAATTAGTATGGCCGACTAAGAAACCCTCAACCGATATTGACTTAGAAATCCTAGCCATCTTATCATTGTACATGTTTGTAGCTCTAAATGGGGATGAATTCAAATCAAGACAGAAGTTTATCCTTACTTAAGACCCTGGACCTTAAAAAGTCCTGGTTTAAAGTCCTGGAGATTTGATAAAGCAGCAAATTCTTGTGTACAGAAAGCTTTACAGATGAAAGTGATAATACTCTTTTTGATTGATATGTGGGGCTGGCATCAACAACAGAGTGATCCAATGGTAAGTGTGTTTTGAGTGTAAAATTAACATTTAAGCTCATGAAATTGTGAAGTGTACAGCAGCCACCCAGGGTTAGAAGTCAATGTGATGGCCTGGCCCAAGCTCATGACTAATCAATTGCAGGCAGAACTTCAAAGCATAAAGAAAAAACTAGAACTGCTAACAACTTTTTGTTATTTTTTTTGCCTAAATCACACTAATATCGGGCGTCAAAAACGAGGCCACATTTTCATTTTAGTGTGTTGGAAAAAGCTGTGAATCTGCAAATGCCCTTTGCGGATCACTACGAAGTACAAGAACGGACAATAACAAACTTCACACTTTACAAGTTCTACCAGAATACCCTGGCGTGGGTGTATCACAAACAGCCTGCATGGGTGCGACAGTCTGTATGGACCCGTCAGCCTGGCCTCTAATGCCATCACGCAAACACAGAGATGACACATCAACTCTTGTCTATATTTAACTCAATGGACACCTCTCTTCCCAATGTTCCCGTCCATTTAGAAGTAACTGCCAGGGAACGGTGAGAAAAACAGGCCGAGGTGATGTGCAATTACACTGAATGGATCTAGCCTCCCACATACTTCCATTGTACCCACGCCCTCAGAGATAATGAAATGGAGGCGAGTGAACTCTTTTTTTTCTATTTACCATAAATCCAGAGCGTCTAGTCTAGTGTTATTTACAGTGTTGAAGAAGACGCTTTAAGGTTGACTGCTCCGCAAAAGTCACAGTGCAAAAACATCCGCAGACCTGTATTAGGGGCCAGGTGAACTACAGCACCCTTGGCCTATTTCAAAAAGTCCTTTTGATACCAAAACAAGACTTGTTTATGGATTCTATTAATAGAATAAAAACCTAATGCAAAAACCTTGAAAGCTCTTCATACTTAAATGTTCTATACAAACTGAGAGAATATTTTATCACAAGAAGAAGCAATGATCCTTAATAGATTGGAATGTTCTGATGTCACATGAAACCAAAGAGTCTATGGTTGAGTGTTGGGGTCGAGGGCAGCTGAAAAACTTTTGCCGGTAACTAGGGTAACTGTCAAAAGTCAAACTTCTAGTTTTAGTTTATAGCCAATTTCTTTGTTATTTCTGGCCCAAGTGACATGAAACAAACAGGATAATAATCAGGTATAGTTATTTCCTCATAGACGTGCCTAGAAGTAGTGACAATATTCAAATAATATATGCATGATGTCAGCCAGTGGAAAGGTCTTTCAGACATAGAAATAATATTGGATTGGGTTTGTAAATCCACCCCCCAAAGAAAACAAAAAACATTTGGACAGATTTTTTTTTTTTGTTACATTTCTTTCAACAACAAAAATCAAATTTTAAAAAATTATTGGCACCTGCTGTCCAACTGAAATAGAACTCTATAACATTAAAGTAACCTATATCCACAGTATGTCTAGCCTCTGTGTGAGGACTATCTCAGTCAAGATAATAAAAGATATTTCACCCCATGTTATGGTACATGATAAATATCTGAGCTTACCTATTCTTCTCCAGCTCGTTATGTGTCGACCTGTAACAAAAACAAGGACAGGGTGATTGGTAAGTATGATTTATTAGTGAGTTAATTAATCTGTGTTAAAGCCCTGTGCACGTGAGGCTATACATCAGCAGTCATTAAGGCAACAATCCTGAGAGATTGGATGTTGGCATCATTCATCAGCTTGTCCACCATTATATACAGGGAAAGGAATTGATGTGTGTGGAAGAAAAATACAGCCCCTTTAAAGTTCCCAATGTGCAATAACGGCAGCAGCAGTGGAAGCATGCATGTCCACACAAAAGTATACTCAGGGTTCAGTGCTGTGTTAATAATGTAAAGTGAATCAGCTGGTCCTAAGAGTGTCTTTGTATGGGAACGTTCTGAAAGGAGATTGGACCTCCTCCCAATGCTTAAATGGACTTGTTTTTATCCATACAAACTGGCTTCACTTAACCTCGAGGGGACACATGTTTTCGGGCAGGATGATGGATGGGAGTTGTCCTGAGTCATTGTCAGGCACATTCTCTGCATGGTTGGTCAGCTATCCACCCAGTCATTCTGCCAGTGTTACAATAATATTGAAAGACACATAGTAAGACAAGTATGCAAATTATGGTTCAGGACTAATTCATTATACACTATGCATGATTTTGCATGCATAACTCTTGGCCTTTTATCAGGGTGTCATGTTTGGGATTATGTGTATGGCCACAAATAACTTTCAATTTCAAGTTAAATAGATTTTGACAGCCCTCCTCTCTGCTATATTGCACTTGCCCAGTAATAATAATACATAATAATGTATCCGTTTTATATAGAGCTTTTCGGACACTTGAAGACACTTCACAGGCCATCATTTCTTCAATCGGCACACAATGGTGAAAAGCTACGAATACAGCCACAGCTGCCCTGGGGCAGACTGAGAGAAGCAAGGAAACAAGTATGTGCCATTGGTCCTTCTGACCCCCACCAACCATTCACAGTACCGTGGGCCTGCATTAGTGAAAAGTATTAATTGATGAACGAGAAGTGGTATTTGGTTGCTGTAAATTGCATAGTATCTGGCAGCACAAATGTGGGAGTTTTCTTGAATTATTTAGGCTTAAGGCCTGTGGGTGCTTTGCCGCTCTTTTGCTATGCAAGACTGAAAATCAAGTGAGCCGTGGTGGCAGTATGTTTGATCTACATTGACATATTGAGGGACTTGAGTGCATGCCTGCTATCACAGCATACACATGTTAAGCTGAGTATGGACCATTTCCTGAAAACTGACCAGGGCTAAATGTTCACATGAGGGCTCCTCACGGGTTTTAACTTACATGTACTATGAATGCCTGCAGTGTGGAGGGGCATTAGCCATATACAATCCATTATAACTTTTGTGCAGAAATACCAACAATAATATAAAACAGATGTGTTTCAAGTGTTAAAAATGTTGAACAAAAGGCTTACATAAAGTGCTCAAACAGGTCAACTTTGTCAAAAGGATGTTTGAGCGTTTAAAGCTTAACCAAGAACAACGAAGATTCAGGATGTGAGCAGATAATGTTTAGAAGTACAGCTGTCGTAGGTCTGCCCATGCTTAGTGTGGAGTGGATACATATAAGAGTGGGTCAATGAGATAACACAATCCTGCTATAAACAGTCAGCAGCAGAGGACACAGTAAGATAAGCCCATCACTTTAAGCCGCAACATGCTCCAATGAGAGGTCTATAGGCTGGGAAATGTAACCAGTGCGGTCAGAAGTGGAGGGCAAATCGTGACCCCTGCCAACACCACATGTCACATTTCAACTCTCAAGAAACGTGTGTGAGGACAAGTTGAAAATTACCTGCAGTAAAAATCAAATAAACACAAAATAGAAGTGTTTAATTGATGTAAAGCCGAAAGTGACCCTGACAAATGACAGAGACGTCAAAACATGGCAAATGTGTGACTCCACTCGGAATAGAATAAATTGCATCACAATATGAGGCAAGGAACCGTTTAACACAATTTGTGAAGGAGACGTGACACCGAGCGCTACCATCCTCATGCCGTGTTATCAGTTCCAGTGCACCTGACTGTCTTCTCCAGCTGTCTCTGGTCTGCAGACTTCAAAGTGTTCCCGAGACTCTATTCCTCCAAATGAATAACCCACATAACCTATATCTGTTAATGGTTGTTGCTATGCAGAATTCAGTTTCAAGATGACTAATACACAGCACCTGTTTATAACCTTGTAATACTTGCAAGGAAAAGGATCCTGATTCCATGTATGTGTGTGGACGGCCCAATTAATATAAAGGCCAAATCAACTGGGCTTGTAGTTACCCTTTCGAAATTAATGGTTTGTTGCTATTGGGAAGGTACAATTGTGGGAGATTTATCAGTTACATTACTATTCTATTGGCTAAACAATATATCCTAATACATTGGATCACCTTTTTACGTCTATTCTACGTTTTGCTTTAAAAAAAATTGTTTAATGATAGATATATATTGTACATGCCTAAAGTGGAACTAATACTCTTCCTTTGATACAAAAGACGAGTTAACAATCAGCTGATGAAAAGCGAAAGAGCTGCATATGCGCCCCTCCCCCAAACCAACAACTAAGCAGTCATGTGCCACACGTATATGTACCTGTGCACCACGCGCCTTTTCTCCTACACTTGACCACACGCCACACAATGCTCACTTTGCAGTCAAATACAATAACACATGTACGAGAACTGAGTTGAAACATTTGCTCTGAACCGTCATTAAAAGATGACCTGGCTGCTCATCCTTGAGTAACCTACTAATTACTTGACGTGTGGCATTACCACTGTACAGGCGTGACATCTGAATAAATCATGAATGATAGAAACTTACCTATTGTGGTTACTGCTAAACTTCTTGTTTCGGAATTTTCTCTGCCGCTGATAGTTCGTACTCTCATTTGAGGGAAATGTCGAAGCATATCCATGTTCACACTCTGAAAAGAAAACGATGTTAGTAACGGGGGGAAATGACATACCTCGGGGTCTTAATGTCATGACAGTACTGTGTAATGACAAACAGTACCTCGGTCTCTCCTTTCTAAATATTCCGCAGCTTCCAATAATCTCTGGATATTTATGAGCTGGACAGCGGTCATTATTTTCCGGTTGTCTTCCTTTGCTATGCTTTTTCCCAGCGTTAACTAGCACAAAAGGCAATAGCTCTATTTAAACGGAGGAAAGACGAACATTGACTAGAATTCAACCCTTAAGTTAAAATAAACGTTGTTTGATCTTCTTTGGCTCATCAAGAGGATTTGTCGGAGAGCAAGACGAAAGAGACGCTTCAAGCTAACCAGCAATGAGCTGAATCTTCGGTAGAAAACCTCAACAAGGAATCAGTCAAAAGGACTTTTATCAAATAGTATAGTGATAATAATAATTGTTAAGAAAATATGATATAAAACTATAAAATAGTCAGAGGAATCTTCGAGCCATCAGAGCCTCCTCACGTATCCTCTCCTCACGAGTTTGTTTACCTAGCTTCACAGCTGAGGGGCGGGGACTGAGCAGAGGAGAGGCTGCCTGGCGCCAAATGCATTGTGGGAAGTGTAGTCCTCGTGATCAACGGCCGAACGCTAAGTAATGTTCTCACCATCGACTGTTCTCACAAAGTATGTTATTTTCTTGTAATTACGGAATCATGGGTGATTCCGAAACACAAAGTCGGACATATTATAGGCTGCACAGATGGGTAACGAGAATAATGATTATATTAGGACTCTGCACATGTTGAACAGGGAAGGTGGGTTTAAGATTAGCTAGAATGACTCATCCATAATGAAACTACAACTTTTATAGGTAGATGCAAAAACGTAGATTTCACTTAATTCAACCATCTACACTATACGTTTACAGACACGCATAATAACATCACTAAATGACTGAACACTTGTGCTCTCCAGTATGAGAGTCCTACAATATCCATGATTCATTGCGAACTTGGGGCGTGCTCAGCGGAACAAGCCAGGCCCAGCAACACGTGACGTAGTACAAATACCAGCACATGATTGGGTAACGATTTTGACAGACACCGGGGGCAGGTATGAGAGCTGTCCAATCAGCGGGGAGAAAAGCGCCATGTGGAAACCAGGCCCACACGCCCACAAAGAGCAGGAAGCAAACAATCGAGAAGAGAAGAGCCTAGGCGACGTGCAGCTGCAGTTGTGCACACAAAACTATAATAAATGTGATCGTTTTGATAGCTGGTGCACTTTATGCCCCATTTCGTTACCACTTTGATATGATAACGCAAAGAGGGCACGCAAGTTCATGCTTTTTAGACGCTGGTTAACCCGACAAGAATACATTGTTTGAGGACACTTCACAATTAGTAAAAGCAACCTACCCTAAAGCCTTTAACCGATTTTTGATTGCACGCTTACCCCCAAATCTATACAGTTATCCCAACCTCAAACATTTCAAAGCACCTACACTGGATATGTACGAGTAGCTTCTTCCCTAAATATATCAAGTTTGGGGGTTATTTTCCCCTTTCAATCCTGCACAAGAACAATGACATCATCCTAAACACCGAGTTGGGGGACGCTGCAATGTGAGGAAATGTATAAAACTGATGGAGAGCACAACCACATATAATCATGTCTTTGTTATCAAGACTATAGTGTAAAAGTATTTTGTTTTGAGGTGCCTTGATCACATTACTTACAGCAGGTTACTATCACAGTCGCCTACGTACATGGCCAGTCCACGGCACATTTTGGCACTGCATACATCTGATCGTTATTACCATGTAGTTAACCTATTGGTGTATTCTATAAAAACCATTTGCAGTTGTTGTCTACTCGCATTGGAGAGATGTTTTGATGGATTTCAGTGGCTATGAAAGCAACGCAGTACAATACACTCACTTCCGTCCTTCCTCTCGGCGCTTTCCAGATATCTCGCAGCCTCCAGTAAAACTTGTACATTTTTCAGAAAAGTGCCGATCTGATCCATGTCGGAGTCTTTAGAGTTGAATACATCATCGAAAGCATAGTTAGACATCTCAAAATCCTGCTGGTCCAAGAGAGATGCGTCCGAGTCAAAATAGAAGTCCTCACTCTTCAAACTTCGTCTTTGCCTTTCGCTTTTGGCCATTTTGGTTTGCGTTTGTGCCGTGGCGTAGCCCAGGAGCCCAGTAAACAAGCACGCAAGCTTCTGCCGGTGTGCCCTGCTCTTGCCTTGTCACAGAGGGGTCCCCGGTTCTTTTCTATGAATGCGGAGTGCTTAATGTGGAGTGCTCAGCCGCCGGCCAATGTCAGTGGATGGAGGAGCGTGGGGAAAGGTCCGGCCCCCCTCCACGTGAGGAGCTCCGCGGGGTCCTAAAGCCGACATTGTTAGACAGATTAGAAAGCATTTAAAACACAATGCGTGATACGTGTATTTGTCATATAAACAGCGATATTGTTTGTATGATCTTGTTGAAAACCACTCATCATTATGACTAGAGCTGTAGCAATTATTTTGATAATAGATTCATCTGACAATTATTCCTTAATCCTCAATGATTAATCGATTGGTTGTTTAGAAGCCAAAGTGCTTAATCAGTTAAAACTATACAATCACATCTCTCAGGAATTCATGTTTTGGAGTCTGCTTATAGAGAGGTTATGATTAATTGATAACTTAAATAGTTGTTGATTATTGGGAAAAAACTACATTGTTGTAATTACTTATTACAGTTCTAATGATGACCATCAGAATCATTGTTACTATTTATTTTGTGAAAAGCAATGTCTCACATTTCGCTACGGAGACTATTAAGTACGTTAACTTGAACCACAACCGTAGTATTGAAATCAAGAAGATATGGTAGTACAAACAGAATTACACATTGGGAGACTGCTCAAAAACAAACAGCCCTGTTTACTGTGGTTGGCTGAAGGCCACTCTTGATTCTTATTCTCTGGAGATCTTTTGCTGAGCTGTTTTTAAACATCACCAAAGTCCGTTTTTGAACCGGAACATGTCGGAGCAGAGGCCCGCACTCGGCTGCTGTGATTCTTCCCTTTGCCACTTCAAAGAGCCAGCAGCAGTCCAGGCCTGTTTGATGTAAAGTTCACAGGGACCCAAACTTTAAAGTCCTACACAGGGGGACTGTTGAAGGTCCTTCCCGCCTCTGCTCCACCTCTCTATGCAGTCTGTGGAAGGAAGGAAATACATTTGATGCTGTTTTCATGAGTGTAGATGGTGTTTCTGCATATCTTCATTGAGTGAATTTAAAGTTTTCTATCATCTAATATAAAGTCTTTTGTAGTGTAGGTGTCTGATACGGGAACATTTGGACCATTCCAGTCACATGCTGTGAAGAGGCGACAGAGGAATTCCCCGTTCCCAGAGGGTCTCTTTATGAAGGTATGGTCTCTGGAGAGGTCATAGCTTAGAAGTAATAATGTCCTGCCGGCTCAGAGTCAGCTCAGCAGCCTGGCTTAGTGGTGTTTGAGTACATATGACTTGATAGCCTTAAATTTAAGGGAGTAGACTTGTTTGAGACGTGCTCCCCAAACAATGAGACTTTTTTTAGAAATACAAGGGTCAACACAGATTTTCCTCCTCTTACTGACACACTGGGCAACACAGACCCTCACTTTAACCTGCCCCGCAAGGGTGTTTGTTGTGAGTTATGGTAATAATTTAGACAACAATAAAACAAAACTGTTTTATAGCCCATTGCCTAAATGTGTGTCATGTGGAGAAGGTAGTAAAACTGCACACAAGTCAGATAAGGGACAACAGTTTGCATAATGACAGTGTAACACGCCACATAACAAGTGGGAAGCTCTAAACCAAGTTTGGGCTTTTGCACTCGCTGCTTTTTCCTGCATGAAGTTTGACAATGATCATGATTATGATTATATTGCTCCACATTGATGATAAACTTGTTGTAATCAGTGCTGTAACTCTGATCTTTAAAGTTCCCAAGGGTCAAAAACCAACAAAGGTTCAAGCAACACGCCAACTGTTTCCACTGTTGTCTCAGGTCGACAAAGTACAGAAGACGAACAGTAATATACATTTGCTTATGGGCCATTTTGAACAGTCTATGGTTATGGTTCGCATGTGATTGTACCAGTCCAAAGCTTAAATAAAATGTTATAGGTTTGTTAAGTGATTCTAGCAATGATTCAGAATGAGAATTATTTTTACTAAGTCACAAACTAGATTTTGGCTTTGATATATGGTGCAAATGAAATATAAAAACAAAACAAAACACTTTAAAAATGCTATTATTCTAATATTACAACTATATCGCTATTGGGATTCAGCCTGAAAACCTTTGGTCTATTACAAATATTTCTCTTGCAGGCTACAACCCTAAAGTGTATTTGTACAACATTAAGCGTTTTCAAAATTACATCTGGCCTGGGAGAAACTGTAGAGGCTTTGCAAGATCCCTGAGTAAACACCCACGCTATTCAGCCTCTGTGTACTGAAAACATATGCAAAACAAGCCAAATGAAAGTCGCAAATCTTCTGCTGACTGTTTCTTACAAACTGATGCATTGCTGCAATAAGAGCCCTCTGTTATAATAGGCTCTTTTTCTTTAGTTATTGCGCTCATTGAAGGCCCACTGACATTTTTGTAAATGCCAGCATTTTACGTCACTCTCTGAAGACTCAACTGGTGGTATATTCATTGGTAATTACACTATGCTCTATGTGTATCCATAGGGGGGTAATAACACCAGACGGCTTAAGGAGATGAAACATAGTTTCTGTTGCTTATGCTAATTTCCGGTAAGCTAATTATGTTTTGTTCACAATTCAAACAGTCATAGTAACTGAAAAAACATTTGGAGTTTCTATAGTCTATAGCCTATCTAACAGCTTCTTTACTGATGGAACATTTTGATGAAGGACCAGGTACATGGTTGTATCCAGGGAGATGCCTGGAATGTTTCACAATATTATTGGTTAACCCTATCTCCATGGAAACAAGTACGCCTTACCACCAAGTCAAGATCGAAGGAACATTGCTAAACAAGCAATCACATGGAGTCAAGCAGATGGCCAGAAAAGCATCATCGTGTTCCAGCTTTAAGTGTCAGTCACTCAGGGCATGACACAGAGATTGGTCATAAGTGTTCTTATTGAAGCAGAGCTGCATTTAACAGACAAGCTGTGGATTTTATGGAGTTAAAATCAATCAAAATATTACATGTGACGCTCATCTCAAACCGTAAAGGGTTAATCCTGATGTATGAGTAGTTTACCACTCCGCTCTGCAGGCTACTGCAACAGAATCTTGAGACCACTTTTTTATTAGGTTTTGATGAACTAAAGTGGCCCTAAGATTAGTAAGTAAGTAATGTTTATTTATATACCGCCTTTCACAGACAAGGGTCACAAAGCAGTTTACAATTGTTATTATCATTTTTTGGGCATTGGTCCTCTCACTCCAGACAGAGATGGGAGCGGGGTCGCCGAACAGGAGGCGCATGCCAGACCTATTGTACATATTTTTAGGGGTAGGGGAAACCGGAGTACCCGGAGGAAACCTACGCAGACACGGGGAGAACATGCAAACTCCACTCAGAAAGGCCCTGGTCCGACCGGGATTCGAACCCAGGACCTTCTTGCTGAGAGGCAAGAGTGCTATCCACTCAGCCACCGTGTCACTTTCATTTTCAATGTAATACCATTGCTTCCTCTTACACCAGCTGTGCATTTGGCATTGCCAAACAGCATCTCCACAGTTCCAACAGGACAATTACTGTAAGTATTACATTGATGACATGGGGGACAAGAGTATGTATGTAAGCGCCCCTGTAATAAATCAGGCTCTCTTCTTTTGTCTTTGCTTATTGCCACTGCTGTGCTAACAAGGCCTATGAAAAAGCAACTCATCTTAACCTCTATGTCCTGTCCTCATTGCCAACAATAGCTATTTGTTCTCTGTGGGAGGTCAGAGCTAACCACACGAACGCTGAATGCATGTGCTGCCTGCTGTAACTCTTCTCTGCTGATCAATTCCTGTATAGTTTTCACGTGAGGCAGCCCTGTTGTTTTGCAGATTTGCACATCCAGGGATTACCAGCTATCACCAAAACAAATAGGTACTATCAGTGTGTTTTGGTGTCATTATTTGCTTAGCTAAGGCAAAGCAGAAGCAGGGCTTGTACAGGTGTTGGTGCATAATTGCAGGGTGAGAGTGATGTTTCAGAGTTTCAGTTGCTGACCCCACGTTGACTTTACGCCTGTGTTGAGTGTGCGTATTTCCTCAAGGACTTAAGCTTTGGTCTTTATGCTGTGTCAGTTTTTTTAAGGAAGATGCAAATCTGCCTCACATGAAGATTGTGGTTCAGTTTTTCCCATGTTTGGGCTCAGCCACGCATGCAGCCAATAGACTTCCTGTGAATTATCTTCACTTCAGGATACTCACAGCCCTTCCTCGTTATCAAAACAAAACATAATAGTTGACCACACCTTGTTCCCCAAATCACTGCTAACACATGTACTACTATTGCTGACGTTTTCACTTCTTGCTGACACAGATGGGAATTTCATCTTTGAATAAGTAGGACACACTTACACACAAGAACAGAGGGTATTCTTGAGTAAACTTTTAGTAAAAACATTGGACAGCTAATGTGAGCGCCCCTCCCCAAAGCCCTGGCCAGTGGATCTCTCTGACCATTGTTTGCCTCTGTTCCCATGCATTGTCATCTGTTGACAATTGACACGATGAGAGAAAGGAAAGAGCCTTCAAGCAACACATGTAACCAACCGCACATGTCTTCAGTTGGGGAATATCAAACACAGAATAGTAGCCTTGTGTTTGGTGGTAAATACAGGGATTGAAATAAAGTACTTCTAACTGTATGTAAAGGACATTACCATACATTACTTACGTACATATAGTGCCTTGTGTCCATTATGTCACTTTTATAGGCTAGAATTTCTTGCTTTTAGAGAGGAAACAAGAAGTTTGCATACACTGTGTATGAAGACATATAGTTGTTATTGTTCTTGTTGTTTTAGTTCACCTTTTTTAGTCCTATTTCGATCAAAATTACATCTATTTGCTTTCTACAGAATCAGAAATGTAAATCTACAAATGCCAAATAATGATACTATGGCCACAGAAGCTTCTGACT